GGACGCAAGTGATCAAAGATAAAAACACAGAGGTAAAACTCTTTAATAATGTGCATGTCTCTTAAAGGCTTTGATTGTTTTTACAATAATCATGTTGCATTACAGTTGATCACAATGGTACAAACAATAAAAGACCTGGCCAAGGGCTTTTTTGATGGAAAACTTGTTGATTTAGTAGACGAGGAGCTGGTAAGCAATTAAATGTATGAATGAATTTAGACCTATTAAAAATGCATTTTGAATATTTTGATAGTATATTTTTTGATGTCTTATTATTTTGCTGTGATTTATGTCCTCGCTGTTTTACAGCCTTTGATTGTGGATACACTTCCACAACCTTTCAGTGATGAAATCAAGGGAATAGCAGCGGTTTCTGGCATCCCTCTAGGTGAGATTTTTCACTTTTGATTATTTTAGATCTTGTTGTTATTTACATTTTATTTGTTAAATAATAATTATGGTAAATGCAAGCAATCTAATAAAATTAAAGCTCAAACTAGCTCCTTAATTATGCTTAATTGTCCCCATTTCTTGAAAAAGGTATCGCAACTGTAATTTATCATTTTTATATTTTTGTACATTTATGTGTCCCTCTAGGTGAAATTACACTGTTCAATATCTTTTATGAGGTTTTCACTGTTTGCACATCAATTGTTGCAGAAGACTTTAATGGTGAGAAAATATATATCAGTTTGCATAATGTTTTAAATCAAATTTAATTTTAATAAACATGTTATTACATATATTTTATTTTTTCTAGGAAATATATACCATGGCCGGAATTTGGACTTTGGACTGTTTATGGGGTAGGATTTTTATTACATTGTTTCTTTTTTGGCAAATATTTAGGAAATAATAGGAAAAAAGATCTGCACACTGTTACTCTCCCTAGTGGTAACGTTTCGGTCAAAGACCTTCATCAGGCAAGGTCTTTTTTTTGCCTGACGAAGGTCTTTGACCGAAACGTTGCCACTTTCAACTTTTTTTGAATAAAGGGAGGATAACAGTGTGCAGATCTTTTTTCCTATTATTTGATGTACCTTTTAATCTTGCACCTGGCCAAGACATTTTTGGATGTACGTGCATACTCACTTTATATCATGTCATAAGAATGATGTGTTTTTCATAAAGGTGGGATCGACAGAATAAAACATGGACTTTAACAGAGAAGCTTAAGCCTCTTGTGGTGAATGTCAATTTCCAAAGAGACAACAAAACCGTCTTTAAATCCACAAACTTTGCTGGATATGTTGGCATGCTCACTGGAATTAGACCTGTAAGTGAATAAAGATTTTTAAAAAAATGATGCTTCTTTTTTGTGTAAATGTAAAACAAGTAATTGTTTTACTTGTTTAGGGTGAATTCAGTCTAACAACGAATGAGCGTTTCAACCTTGATGGGGGTTATGTAGGTAAGATTTTTTTAAATGATTATGACAAATGAAATGTAAGTGACGGGTATATAAACAGTTATTTTAATGTTTAAAGTTTGTGAAGAACTAACACTACACAACACTACATATTTATTTCTTCTAAACATTAGCTACAAATCATGGGTGCAACTAGATGTTTTTGATGGTTGACTGGTTAGATAACATCATAAATTCTCACAGGGATTCTGGAATGGATTTTTGGCAAGAGAGATGGAATGTGGATGGGTTTTCTCACTCGGAAAGTTCTGGAAAATGCTACCAGGTAAAAACAACACCACACTAGCGTAACATGAAAGCACAACTTCCTTATTTCTCTGTCATGACCACATAGTTCTCACTCACACACTTTTTTTGTAATAATTTAAAAATAGCTTTCATCAGCTAAAGTAGTAACCTTCACACTCTGAAAAAGGCACCGTGTAGATTTTTATTTTAAAAAATATTAATATTTGTTACAATATTTGATACTCTTGTGACAAGAGGACACGAGTACTCATCAGTCTTTTTTTAATGTTTTTTTTTACTTGCAGTTATGAGGATGCCAAAGGCCAGCTCTCTCTGACGAAACTGCTTGCACCAGCTTACTTCATCTTGGGTGGTAACCGAACGGGTCAGGGTTGTGTGATAACCAGGACGAGAATAAACACATTAGACATATGGGAGTGAGTAAATCATATCACACAGAAGTACCACATTTCTGTCTGCAATGTTTTAAACTGCCCTAAAATTTGTTGTTAATGATGTTAAAGACTTTATATGAAGCTTGGGAGATGGTACGTCCTGGAAACAAACTATGATCACTGGGAAAAGCCTATGATATTTGATGACCGCAGAACACCTGCAATGAAGTGCATGAATCAAACCACACAAGCAGTACGTGGCATTTTGTGTTAGAAATAAAACGGCTATGTAGTAGAAATTAAGAGAGTAGGTTAATTAGTTTTTAAAATAATGTGCATATTTAGTAACTAATTGTTCATGAAGATGTTTTATAGAAGATAACAAATTGTAATTTCCACAGAATATTTCTCTGGCATCAATATATGATGTTCTGTCTACAAAACCGGTTCTTAATAAAGTAAGTCTTCCTTTCAGTTGAATTAACAACAGCCTTACACTTACATATATCATACTTATATTTGGTTTATTTTCATTTTTTTTCATTTATTGTTCTTTCTTTCTTTCACTATTTTTGAGACGGAGAGAAAAAAAGGGTGTTTGATCACATTTCTGCATCTGGTCTAATGTCATATAATAATGAAGCCATTTTCTGTCCTGTCTTTACAGTTGACAACCTACACGTCACTGATGGAAGTGTCTACTGGATCTCTGGAGTCTTATATCAGAGATTGTCCAAATCCATGTACGCCATGGTGATCTGCCATCAAATCTGAATGAACTAAGGCATATGAAATACTGTTCTGGATATCTGTCATTACAGGGCGGTGTATAAGAAAAGGAGGATGTTAAAAATCATAATGGTTGCAATTCTATCTCTGAATTTGCACATATCTCTTCACATGGACATGTCTGTTGTAACTGCTTTACCACTGCAACATTTGTGCAAAAGTATAACTGTTTCTTTTGCATAACAGACTCTGAATAACCACACATTTTAAATGGAAATGTTTTTTTATATATTGTCTTTGAGTGTTGCCTTTTTCTTTAATATTTTGATGATATAAGGAAATAAATTTTTCTGAAATCCATGGTAATGATGCTGAAAAGTATTTTTGTAATTTATACTGACATTTTATGTGTCTCTTTCTGGGACTGTGTTGAATGTGTAAGTGGAGGTATTACGAGTTACAAACAATAATAAAATGTTTCATCAACAAAGGCTAAACTGAATTTGATGTGTGTAATTTTAATCCTTTTTACACCTACAATTATTAAATTGTCCAGTTGTAACAGTCCAGTTACAATGTCTCTTTGTTGGAGGTCTACTTTTGCAGCTAAATGTTAATACATTCAGTATATTTCTATTAGTCATTCAGGTAAATTCATTCCCTGAGATCCGGAACAGTAGGCCTATGCTTGATTTCAGAGGCAAACTTGTGCAAGCAAAAGTGGTGGCCCCAGCCAAAATGAATAAATAAGGCTCTTTTTGTTTAAATATAGGTATTAGTTACCTAGATAAATAATTACAGTATATAACATACATTGTAAACTTTTGGGGCTTAGCCCAAATCTTGGTAAGTGGACATTTTTCCCCATTTACAGCAGCTATAATATGAACTTGTGTTTCTCATAGGATTTTATGAGACTATCCTTGGTCTTTAGGGTGTAAATTTATATATCCAAAGTCCCGATCTAAATCAAACGATTCACAATACACGCTCCAAAGTTCGAACTGAATAATGATTATTCAGATCTGAATCAAAAGATTCGCAAACCCGCTCCGAAGTTCCAGTCTATTTTTTATGCCCTTCACTCGCAAACTTCCCTCGGTTGTGGCTAGAAGGGATACAACCAGTGCCGATCCTAGACTTCTGGGCAGAGCCGATCCTCCCTATACACAAAATACGCAAGCTGCGTAGGGCCCCCAAAACATCAGGGGGCCCCTTTGCTCTCAAAGATTATTTAATTTTAGTTTCGTTTTTGAATTTGGCCAGCGATTATGAAAACATGAATGACGGAGTGAAACATGGACGAATGCGTTTCATTCATTCGTTTATAACCACTCATACCCCACTCCGCCACCGACACATTTTTGCGTAGGGCCCCCAGAAGCAGTGCAGATCCTAGACTTCTGGGAGCCCTAGACTTCTGTGTAATTTTGTCTATCTCAACCAGTAATTGGTGGGCGGAGTTAGTGTAAATAGTTTCTGCCAACAAGGTGGACTATTGCACTTAGTGTAAATAGACACTTTGTTAATATTAACATTTCAGATTATTTAAATGATCAGCCCTTGGAGCGGCCCTCAAAATGCGGGGCCCCAGGCAATTGCCTGCCTTGCCTGCCTTATTGCTACTGTACGCCTCTGCTTGATTTAAATTTAACTAGAAAACAAATTGCAGCAGGTTTCTTTTATTTGTTGTGCATATGCATGTCTATCATCTGCAAGATAAATTATTCTTTTAATGGTTTTACTTTTGGAATGAAACTCCCTCTCTCTCGCTCTCTCTCTCTCTCTCTCTCTCTCTCTCTCTCTTTAGGATCAGTGTGCCTCACACATGTTTTTCCCATTTTGTTTTTATGGGTGTTACAAATCAGGTATTCGTCCCTGCGTATCAGACATTCTTTAATCAGGATTGTTCTATTTATTTTGTAAACAAATATGCATGTGTTTTAGATTTACAGAGAATTAAATGTGTGCATCAATGTAAATTACAAATAATTCTTTTTTTTATGTAAAAAACATTTAAACTTTAAGGACCATTCATTTGTTTTACTTGAATTTTACTTGAACAAATTTAAGGATTGAGATCAAATGTCTCAATTTTTTATTTACAGAAGATTTTCAGTCTTCTTTGTGACGTCTCGGGAGCTGTTTGTAGTTATCTGCACATCTGTTTTGATCCAGAGTGACTCAACTCAAAGTAGTGCACATCCAACCACAGGAAACTTTGTCAGGCACCAGAACAGACCTCAGAAGCATCTGTACAAGCTGTTGAGATTGTAGTTGTTCTTTAGTGCCTAAATTGCACACTGCATCACTTGGTTTACAATCTTTTATCTTTAAATACAGCATCGAATAAGTAAATCTACAATGTCAGTTTTGCTCATCATTTGGATGCTTTGTACTACTCTGGATTTGTCAGACTCTGTAAGTATTGTCTTAAAATTAATTTAGCTTCTTTCCTATGTGTTTAAATTACATTTAGTTACACCTAAATGAAACAGTATGTTTATATTTTATTTGTATGTTGCGTTTACAGTAGTCATTCTGTGTGTTGTGTGTTTAGACTCCTGACGAATGTGAAGATGAGATACAGCGTCTTCGAGCGGAGTTGAAGAGTTTGGAACTTCGCCAGACAAAGCAACAGCAACTTATTCAACGATTAATGAATCACAACCAGATGGATGAACATTCCCTAAAAGCGAGCGCATTTTATGACATGGGAGACAAACAGTACATGGGTCAAAGCTCTATATTATTTTCTTAAGATGTAGTATTCATTGTGTAAATATGTTATACTTGTCTGATTATAACAGCACAATGTAATACTAACAAAAATCAATCTGCCACAAACAGACTGTGCTCAGATCTTCAAAAATGGCAGCACTCAGAGTGGGTTTTACATGATTAAACCACTGCTGAATCTAACCCGGATCAGAGTGTACTGCGATATGACAGAGGGGGGTGGATGGACAGTCTTCCAGAGACGCTCAGATGGCAGTCAGTCATTTGACAGGTACGGAAAACTCTATTTCATTGATGTGAGAAGAGATGTCTACTGATTAATAAATGAAACATGATGTCTCCATGTTCATGTTTAGAGATTGGAATGATTATAAAATAGGATTTGGTGACATGAAGTCCGCTAATGGAGAGTTCTGGTTAGGGAATGATAATCTGCATTATCTGACATCTCAAGGTGAGTAAATCTATGCATCTAAAATGCATGCAAACTGAAATAAATATGTCATAATAGGCCATAATTGTATGTATATACAGGTGCATCTCAAAAAATTAGAATATCATAAGTTCATTTATTTTTGTAACTTATTTCCAAAAGTGAAACTTTCATATATTCTAGATTCATTACATGTACATTAAAACAAAAAAATTGAAAAGTAAAACATTTCAAATGTTTTTTTTTGTTTTCATTTTTAAAAACTTTCATGAGCTGTAAGCTCTAATCATCAAAATTAAAACAAAAAAACTTTTGAAATGTTTTACTTTACATGTAATGAATTTAGAATATATGAAAGTTTCACTTTTTGAAATAAGTTACAAAAAAAAAACTTCTTCACGATATTCTAATTTTTTGAGATGCACCTGTATATTATCCGCAGCCCTACATTTGAAGAATAGATGGATATATTATATTATATTATATTATATTATATTATATTATATTATATTATATTATATTATATTATATTATATTATATTATATTATATTATATTATATTATATTATATTATATTATATTATATTATATTATATTATATTATATTATGCACATATTTTAATAAAACACCTTCTGTTGCGCAGACGATTACACCTTGAGAATCAATCTGGAAGACTTTGAGGGCAGCCACCGTTTTGCAGTGTACAAAACGTTCAAAGTGGATAATGAACAGGTCTTTTTATTCATCTCTTCATAATATGATAAATGATGTGTGGATAAATATACTGTGCCCATTATGAACCAACAGGTGGCATGTGAAGTTCCTAATAGATCAGTACAGCGGGGTGTATAACTGTATTCTGTTTCCATTAAAAACAAAAAGAAGTGTTACACAATATCACAATTTATAACTTTCATTTGACCTGAATGGTATAATATCTGTTTATTTAGTTAATGTTTTAACGATCCCATTTGTCTTCTCAGAACCATTACCAGCTCCAGTTTGGTGTATACACAGGAAACGCAGGGGACGCTCTCTCTGGCAGTTATCATCCTGAGGTTCAGTGGTGGGCCAGCCATCAGGGAATGAAGTTCAGCACACGAGACAGAGATAATGACCGCTATGATCGCAGTTGTGCTCAGGAGGACAAGGGTGGCTGGTGGTTTAACAGGTCTGCATCTGTAACAATGACAGAGCTTTTCACATTCCAGTAATAATGACAACTACAACATGTATGAAAGCAGTTCTTCATTACATTAACTATGAACATTTGACAACCAAAAGGCGTCCAATATGTTTTGTATGTTGTTTCACCTGTATTCCTCTAGATGTCACTCTGCCAATCTGAATGGATTCTACCACAGAGGCCCCTACAGCGCAGTCACTGATGACGGAATAGTGTGGTACCCCTGGCATGGCTGGTGGTACTCCCTCAAATCTGTGCAGATGAAGATCAGACCCGCCAGTTTTAAGCCTAATGATGTTTAATTCATGGATCTGATATCTAAACCATGAAGGAAATGATGAATTTGTGGATGAAGACAAATGACATTGTAGTCCAGCTTAGTAGTCCAATTCTTAAGTATTTACATATGTAGTTAAAAAAGCTCTTCTCCTGCATGTAGCGCAATAAAGTTCTCAAAACATCCTTGCTCCATCCTTGTGTTTTCCATCATAGTATTTTTAATTTGATAAATTTCTGAGTTAATATTAAAAATAATTCAGAAATAAATCAGAATTAAAGAGGAAAGTTTTATTAAAATTGCATTTTTAAAAACTTAATTGAATATAGAATACTAATTGATGTTGTCATCATTTATAGCAATACCTGTCAAGGTCTGTCAAGGTTAATGTAGCTAATAATTAACATCCAGTAGTAAATATATCATTCAAAGTTCTACAGAAAGTGCAAACACCATCAATATCAGGGTATTTAGAAAACTGACAGAGTATTTATAGAGCTGTTTTAATGTAGTAAATAAAATGTAATTTAAAACATTACATTACATTTACATTTTATGAAAAAAAAAATCAAAAATGTATAGGGTTGAAGTTTAAGTTAAAGATAACCTCTATATAATAATTTTTAAAAAATTAAATAAAAAAATGTTGAAGGTTGTATTTTTTAAAAACTCTTCTAACACTGACACACTGACAAATGTAGTAGAGTTTTTATAGTAGATTGTTATTATTATTATTATTATTATTATTATAGAGATAGCCTATTATATATAGAATTAGAATATTAGAATATACTTTATTGTCCCGTTTCTGGGAAATTCATCTTGGACAACCGTGACATGGCCAGTACATAACTCACACAACACATTACAACTCACAATAAATTACACATATCAAATATATTAAAAAGCTACAATATGCCAAACAAACTCCTCATTTTTGCACTTCTCTGTTGAATAGTGTAACAGCAGTTGGCACAAACGAATTATTGTAGCCATATGATTTACACATCAAAATCCTCAATCGTCTCCCTGAGGGTAACATATAAAAATTCTCATGTAAAATATGTGTATCATCAGCAACAACTTTCTTAGCTTGTCTTAAAACAGATACCTCATACATCTCCTGAATAGGTCGTTTGGCTTCCCAACCTACAATTTTTAAAGCAGTACAAGTCGAGCAAGTTTTGGACAGTCAGATTTCCACACCATGCTGTAATACCATATCTTATCAAACTCTCAAAAACAGACTGATAGAACAGAAATAAAATCCTCTGATTTACCCCAAATACTTTTAACCTTCGCAAAAAATATAACCACTGCTGCAGTAGAACACAAGACTGTTGACGTGAGAAGACCAACATAACCAATTGTCCATATAGACACCCAAGCATTTGTGTGATGAAACCTGTTCAATAAACTTCCCGTTTATTATTACAGGACCATGATCCCCCACAGATCTAGGGTCGAAGATCATTTCAACAGTCTTTGTTCCATTTCAAATCAAAAAATTATCATCACACCATCTTACAAATCTATCAACTTCTGAAAAGTACTGCAAACAAGTAATATTCCTATACAATAAACTCAGTATTGATGTATCATCCGAGAATTTAATTAAAAAAAAATGATTGTCCTCACCTGAAGCACTCATTAAACAGAATGGGTGAACTAACAGACCCCTGCGGTGCTCCCGTATTAGTGATTTTCACCTCAGAACAACAATTATTAACCCTTACTTGTTGTGTACGATTGGTTAAAAATTAATAAAAACCATTTGATACAAAAGGGGTTCACTTTCAATTCTGTCAGCTATTGATATAGTGTAGGAAGTGTCAACCGTCAACATTTATTTATTTATTCGTTTATTTGTAGCTTTTTTAATTATAATATTTAGTTATCTTTAACTTAAACATCAATCCCTGTGCATATGTGGTCGTGAACTGTAGCGGCTCGTGTCTTTCCTGCTGTGACGTCATTTAAGGAGAGCGCGAGCTCACCTGAGCTCTCACCTTTCCAATGCACGCGCTGCTTTTAACTGTGGACAAATCTGTGAATCCCATTTTCTCTCACTTGCGACGTGCGGGGTAAGTTCTCTATGCTACCTAGAGAAGTTGAGACGTCAGTGTAGATATTTAACATTTCTACAAACGCACTTTTGTACCTTACATTTCATCCTTGGTTTAGTAGCGCGAGGCATGTTTGTGTTGTTACTCGAGTCGCGTGAATTGTCTTCAGTGGTTTTTGTTAACGTTTACGCCTGTTTAATGATTATTTAGTGTGTATACCTTTATTCGAAGGGCATCTTCTGCTTTCTTTCGCTTTACAACTTTGTTTACTCCACGTGTTATTTATAGACGGAGATGCCAGAGATCCCAAACACGCCTCTGATGATTCTGTCAGGTGCACAAGACAATTTAAAGGCAGCGATCAGGAAATAGATTGTGAGGTATGAGGGAGAAACATGAGCTCAGCAGGAAAAAGTAACTAGATTTAAAAGAATCCAATGAACTTGTTTTTCACCTTGTTTTAATTTTTTCTAGTCTTTTCTATTTCTATATATTTCTCTGAGAACACAGTTCTGAGTCTCCTGATTTGTTTTTGATTGAATACTGTGATTAAGATGCTTTAGACGTCAACCAAGCTATGTAATGATGTATTCTATGAATATTTTGAAGTGCGTGTTGGTTTGATGTGGCTCAGATGCACCATTAGTTCATGGTACTGTGGGACTTATGTGCTTTATGCCTTGAGCAGATATGGTGTACAGAAACAGTGAAAAGCTCAAAGGGCAGAAGCTTTGAATTCCAGAGCAGGTTATAGTGCAGGTGCCCTTTAGGACCTCATACTGTAGGGGCAGAATTATCAGATTACTTAAACTCTGTTATTTATTCTATTTGCTTAGAAATATATATATTATATTTAGAGTAGTGTCAATGGAAAATTATCACCTTTTTTGTTTTTGTTTGTGAGGGGATAAAGAAGGCATGTTGATGGCATAAATGCAACAATGACTGACCTTACAGTTTTCAAAAAGTTTCTGATACACTGCCGTTCAAAAAGTTTGGGGTTGGTAAGATTTTTTCAATGTTGTGCTCACCAAGGCTGCATTTATTTAATCAAAATAACAGTAAAACCGTAATATTTAAATATTGTAAGATAAGTAATTATAATAATTAAATATATTTTAAAATGTGATTTATTTCTGTGATGGTAAAGATGAATTTTCAGCATCATTACTCCAGTTTTCACTGGCACATGTTCCTTCAGAAATCATTCTAATATTCTGATTTCTTAGTATTATCTTTGTTGAAAACAATTGTGCTGCATAATTTTTATTTTTATTTGTTGTTGTGTTTTTTGTGTGTACAAAACATTCCAGGATAAATAGAATGTTCAAAAGAACAGCAGTTATGTGAAATAGAAATCTTATGACATTATAAATGTAGCATTATATCTGCAGACATTTTGATCAGGTTAACATGTTCTTGCTGAATAAAAGTATTTATTTCTATCAAAATACATTTTCACTGACTAAAGTTTTGAAGGGTAGCGTATGTCTTGCCAAATAGTCTCAAACAATTACAAAGTTATTTAATAAAGTTAGTAGTTATTTAATTATTGAATACGATTTTGTGCTTATTTTATTGTTTGAGTGCCAGCAAAAATTACAGTCCATTGTTTGCTGAATCAAAATGGGTTGAATGATTTTATTTATCTTGTTTGATTATGTAACTCTGTGGCCTGGTGTCCAACACTTATTGGTATCTTTTGTTAACCAAGATTATGGATTCCTACTCTTGTGTAAAGACCTTTAAATAGGGGTTAATCAAGAACAGTACTGTTCCCAATGACCGATATAATACCCCTCATGCCTGCTATTACACAACTTTAGGAAGTCAAGGTATTGCCAAGCATTTGTCAATACAAAGAAAGTGTTGCAGTTTTCTATGCCAAATATGCGTAATTGGATTACTTTCCTAAATAGATATGACATTTAAATTCTTCTAACTTTTGTGTGTATGTTTGTTTTATCATTTTTAAATTTGTAACATTTATGCTTAGTTTTACATTAGAGGTTTTCCACGGTAGAAAATATCTGCATGGCTGACATACAGTTTTTCTCCTTGTTTATCCTCTGATACCTAAATCCCTTCAAAAATGCTACTGGCTGCTTAGCAACAGCATTGCTGCTTTTGGCCTGACGTGCCCTGGCCCCTCCCCTCACGTCGGGCTTGTCTAGGATAGGGTAACCCAGTCACTGTCCCCTGTAAAGTTAGCCTTGAGGCTTTGCAGTGGGTTCAGTCGTGGCCTAGGCTGGAACTTGAAGAGCGCTGTACGAGTAGAGGCGCGTTTTAGTATGCAGGGACAGCCCAAAAGTGTGCTGACAGCAGCCTGGACTGTGCCACATTCCTATGAGACAAACCATTGCTGCGAGCCAGGAGCGGTGCTGAAGGAGGGACTGCTGGGGCTGATGGGTATTTTAGAGCTGGCAGTCTTTATATACGTGCGTTTAGTGTGGTGTAGTGTTTACCACAGCACTAATAGGATTGATCCTGAGACATGGAGCTGCGAGTGCTGCAGGAGCCTGAATGGGATGTGCTGAACTGACATAATGTTATGCCTGGTAGGACTCTGAGGGTTTTCCGATTTTTGTTTTTTAATGTATTTTAAAAGATTTTAGATGGCATGAAATTGCTAAGATTTAGATAAGTGCATAAATACAATAATACAGTTACAAGCTGAGGGTATTTAATTTAGGAGAGATGTAATTATTCATATTTTAGACCTGAATTAATTAATGCAATTTGATTAATACAATACATCTGCATGTGTGTTATTTATTTTATTGATTTTTTTTTTGTTAACACTAATGGACATGCTGTAAAAAAAAAAAAAAAAAGTGTATATTTTAGACCTGAATTAATTAATGCAATTTGATTAATACAATACATCTGCATGTGTGTTATTTATTTTATTGATTTTTTTTTTGTTAACACTAATGGACATGCTGTAAAAAAAAAAAAAAAAGTGTAAGCTTATTTGTTATGCAATGTGCTGTGTTTTTATGCCGTAAACTGATTTAGTGCTCCAGTTATGACATTTTTCCAGACTGGGCTCTTAATAATTAGGCTGCTTCAACCCTCAAGAATGAATGATCCATTGTATTCCACTGTTGCTTTTTATGAGAGTTTGGCATATCAGTTTTATGTCCCTTCAAAGTTGAAATAAGACGCATACATAAATAATTCTCCAGGCGGTAGTGAAGTATTAACCGAGGGGCTCTTGTTTCTTTAATGCCCAGCCCTTGCATGAGCAGTCGGCCTGTAAATGACTAAGCACACTGTTAGTTCCCAAGGTAACCTTTCACTCAGCCAGCGAGTCGAGGAAGGAATTTTTGCACTCCTTTTTATATCAGAAAGAATATTAGGGAGAGTCATGTTTCAATGAGAGTTTAATTTATTTTATAATTATGCTTTTATGTTAGAAAAAGATGAGAAATGAATGGGATGCAGCTTCGTAGTTTTAATATCTTGGTCCATTAGATTAACTTGAAGATTATATGAATTTATAATGTTTAAGCAGCTAAATAAAGGATATTTAATATTTTCTTTAACCTGCGAGAGTGTAATATTACACATTGTATACATTGTAAATAAAACAAAGATTATTGGTGTATGTTTTACAAGGAAATACTGTTGTAGTCTTTCAAAAAAAAACGTTTAATTAAATGTTACTTGCAATTTCTGAGTGAAAATTGCACTATATGACAAAACAGATAGACTCTAAACATGTATGACAACATGGCTTGCTGAAAGTTTGCGTTAATGTTTTTCACAAGTAACCGTTTTAGAATATCAATTATTGATAGTCTACATTTTAGAAGCAAATTCCAAGTGACAATTACTGGTCATTGTTTTATGAACATTTACACATTAACCTTGTAAACAGGTTCTGGGTCTGTGATTTTTGGTACTGCTATTTATTGGTATACAGTTTTGTCTGTAATCAGATTCATTACATAGTTCCACAGTTAAAGTGGCTTGTTCGCTTGCTGTGATTGTATGGGGTTTGTTATTTCAAAAGAAGCCAGACGGAGAGCTTGTCTTTGGATCTGCGTAAACTGGCCTCGCTCCTCATTGTACTTGACAGAAGTGCATTAGAGCATGCAAGGCCTTTCCCTCAGCAGAGGCAAAGTATGCCATGCCTTTTCAACCACTGTGAAGTAATGCAGTGATGTTAACATGAGGAGACACAACACAAAAAATAAATGAGACATTTTGGCACTCAGAAATAAATTGTCATTTCAGCAGATTGCAATTGACCTTTTGTCTTCAATCTTGAAGAAAATGTATTGGTCATCAGATTTCATCAAATTAAGTGGCACATTTTGCAAGTATTAGTGTTTGTGTTAAGTCACAGCAAGCTTTCTGTGTTTGAAAAAGGCATGTCTGCTGGGGTGTAGCCGTCCTATCACAGACCTAGATCTGTGCCTACTAAAGACAGTGAGGTGTTTTCACTTGCACTCAGAGCTGCTTATCTAAATACACTAAATCCACATGCTCCCATTGACCCCTCACCAGTCTCAATGTAATTCATTGCTGTGAAATCATTTTAATAAGTTATTATGTTTAAAGTTATTTTACCCCAAACTTGAATGATGGTGTACATTCAGAGTTTCTGAGATGTTTTATAAAAAACACGTTAAAAATTGTTTTTCAGTTCCATTTTAAGAACTAGAGGTTGGTAACCTATGAGTAAGCTCTTGCATTTTTAATGGTGTTTCTCTAGGAAACCTAAAGAATTAAACAGGGGATCAATTTCCTCATTACTCTTAAAGTAATTGGTCAGTAGGTTATGTAACATCTCCACAAAGAAGACTGTGTTACTTTTGTAGCCAACAACACAACAGGTTTCACAAATTGTAATTGGCCAGGATGTGTGTTTGTTCAGTGAAGTATTGCATCAATAGCAAATACCCTTCTAATTTCAGCTCCAGCACATGTTGAGTCACCTTCATAACTTTTATAACCTCTTACATCAATCTAGACCATAGATGCATTGTTTAGAATTTCACTTTTAACTTTTTATTTCTCTCTCTCTCTTTCAGGAACATTCACAGAATGAGTTTCAATAAATAAACCTGTGCTGAAGTTCAAGGGACGACTAATACAAATCTCATAAAACAAGAGGTGTTTCAGATAGATGTGAAATTGCTCATATCAGCTGCTCCATGGAGACCACAAGTAGTTCCATGAATCTTACTTTCTCCATTGAGGACAAAAATGGAAATAACATCACCTGCCCCAGTGAGCATTCCCCCGATTCACTAAGGGGCTCTAGCAGTTTGAGTTGTGGCGGTTCAGACAGTCCTCTTGATGTAGAAATGGAGGACTGTATCACTTGCCCAACAAAAGACGAGACTTCTTCCTCAGAGGTAGTGAAATCAAGCAGTGCAATTGCTGTAGACTTTGTCAAATCAAACATCGACAACTGGAATGAGAATATGGCTCTCTTGATGATAGTGGACACAAAAAACACTGAATGCAATGGCAGTGACAGAAGCTCGGAAACCTCCCCTGACTGTGGAGAGCGAGAGCTGTCTGAGGTGGACTACTGCGAGCCATCACGCCGTGGATCCAATGAGAACTGCTGCTCTGTGAGCTCAGGTGAGATGGTCATGAGGAGTAGCAGCTTTGTCTTGCACGAGAATGACCAGCCACTTAGCATCTCACTAATCGGGGAGTCCAGAACCTCCTTGGATATATCTTCAGATCTCGGCGTCGTATCGGGGATGTTACCTGATGTGTGTGAAGGCTTAGCCGAGGTGCCACAAGGAGTGCCCAAGAATCAGGGCCTGGAGTGTACCTACATCCAAGCCAACAATCAGACCTTTCTCATAGATGAAAAGTCGTTGAGCAATGAGAAACTTGAATGTGTAACACCTGTTCATTATCACAAATCCAATGTGCAAAAGTTGGTATGCAACAGCGGCGGATCAAATCCGTCAACACCAATGGAGGGAAAAACTGTGCTTATTACTGCTTCTGAGGATTTAGACATTAGTGGCAATGCTCAGACATCAACTCCAGTGCAGTCTGTGAGTAACAAGACATTTTGCCTCCCATCTTTATCTGAGTCACCTCTGAATAAAGATGAAGGTGATTCAGTGAGTCCAATGGCTCAATTTATTAGTCAGGAGCAAGGCGCTGCCTCTCAAAAGTCCAAAACACCACTGATGTCCGCAAGTAAAAGCAAAAAAATAGATATAAATCGGTTTCCGAAGCCTAACTTCAGTAATATAAAGTCTAAAATTATGTCACGCGCCACCAACCCCTTTAAGACATCAAGTGCACCAGTTCAAAAGACTTCACCAAACTCTGTCCCTCAAACTAATGAACGCCAGACTACGGACCAGCATAAGTCATTTCCTAACAAATCTACTTCTGCTGCAATAACCAGCACATCTGCCACACCAGCTCAAAATGTAAAGAGCTATAATGCAGCTAAAAGAAGTCACTCATCTACTTGCCAAGAAAGAGGTCCAGCCTCGAAATCTCGACCTCGTCGATGGTCTGAAAGCGCGACCTCTTCCAAAACAAGTAAAGATGGAACACAAGAGAAGAATTCACAGGTCAACAGAGTTTTGAACAACCTCGCCACACCACAAAAAAACACTAAAGGAGGTGCAAAGACCAAACCTGCAGAAACCGAGTCAAATAGAGAGGTCATGCGGGGGAATGAGTCTCTGAAGATTCGTGGGAAGAATCAGAAAGTCAGTCTGTTGGTGAGTATGTCATGGCAAATAACTGATATATGGATGTTATTAAGTAAAATGATAAAATTAATCCAGAATCAATCCTTTTAGATGCTACAAATGGATTTAGAGAGCACAACATTAATAAATCTCATACTATACATAACACAAAACAAAAAGATTGCATTAAATAAATGTAAGTGAGAGCTAGGGGAAATGAACATGCACAATTAGAAAAAAGTTAGTTTATCCAAAAATAAGATGTTGTTTACTTCCCCTTATTAATCCATACGACTTTTGTTCATCTTCAAAATACAAATGTGAAAAAATAACAGGTGTTTTTAAAGAAACATGAGAGATTTCTTTCTCTCTATTGAAAGTCTATTTAAACTTTAACATTTCGAAAAAGTTAATAAATGGGTGGTAAACACAATCCATATGATCGGAGTAGTTTATTCCAAGTCTTCTGAAGAAACACAGTAGCTTTATATGCTGAATAGATTCAATGTAAGCTCTTATTCATGTATAAACATTGATGATACACAAAGTACATAGAGAGCACATCAAATATGGTAAACAAAAGCAAGAATTAATGTTTTGAAGTCAAACTTTTGTTTGGAGGTACATAAATCTCATTAAAAATTTCATTAAAATATCTAATATAAAATATAGAGTATGTTTTAAAGATGAATGAAGGTCATACAGGTTTACAGGAGGTGATACGAGTAAATGATGATAGAATTTTTGATTTCCATTTTCCCTGTTTCTTTATATATCCAGTATCAGGCAATATAGCCAATCTCGACTGAAAAAGATGAATTAAATCTCTAAATAAACTTTGAGTGAGTTTTGAATGATTTGGATCTGTTTTATTTTGGATTAAGGCTGCCATCTCAAACAAAGCACAGTTCACAAACAAAAACTTAGGAGAAAGTATTTATGCAGTGTACTGTAATTGCTGTTTTAATTACTGCTGCAAGAGGGCAGCAAGCTGAGTCTTTGGAAAATGCGTTCCATGTGCACACATCAAATCATGTTTACAGAGCTAGAGAGGGGAACAAAAAAAAAACTTGGCAGTGACTTGAGAATTCCCATGGGGACTGTATTACAATAGCTGCTCACGTCTCAAGTCTGCATGAGTTTCAGTCTCACTCTTCAGATGTGTTATGGCCAATGCTGCTGTAAGCGTGGGGAGCTCAGGCTTGGGGCTGCATGCGTGGGAGCGAATTGCTGAAAGGGGACTTCTCTTGCAGGCGGTGTCTGCCAGGCCAGCAGCAGCAGCATGTGAGTGGAGTAGAAGCAGGCTTGGCTCCCAGCCATCCCCAGCCAGGACAGGAGGCGCCTCTGCTGCTCACGTTCCAGCTGCAAACTTACGACCACCGCTTTCAGCCTCTAAGCTCAAACCTGGTACAGTGGGAAAAGATGGCAGCAGTACCTCTGACATGCCTTCACCCAGGAGCAAACTGAGCACGTCTGATGGTAAGGGCGTTGTGCACTGCAGAGCTCTATCTTTATGTTGTTTGGTCAGCTTTTATTTTTACGGTGTGAGTTGGTGTATGGACTAATGTTTTGAGTGATTCATACTGTTTTTCTTTTTATTTGTCCTGTGTAGTGTCATTCCTGTCAGACTACATTGTAAGAAAACACTGGTGTAATGCTACATTAGAAGAGAATTAAATGCATGTTGTGACATCAGTTTCTTCATCAGTACAAATAGTTTCAGGGAGGACTTGATTTATTTGTAGATTTTGTACTCTACTGTTCAAAAGTTATTTTGAATATTTAAAAAAAAAAAGTTCTCTTCCAGGTGCATCTCAATAAATTAGAATGTCGTGGAAAAGTTCATTTATTTCAGTAATTCAACCCAAATTGTGAAACCAAGACTGCATTCATTTGTTTAAAAAAACAGTAGTTTTATGAAATATTACAATTTAAAGGAATAGTTTTCTGTTTTAATATATTTTAAAATGTAATTTATTCCTGTGAAGCTAAACTTTCAGCATCATTACTCCAGTCGTCAGTGTCACATGGTCCTTCAGAAATCATTCTAATATGCTGACTTGATGCTCAAGAAACATTTCTTATTATCAATGGTAAAAACAGTTGTGCTGCTTAATATTTTTGTGGAAACCTTTTATTTTTCAGGATCCTTTGGTGAATAGAACGTTTAGAAGAATGGCGTGTATTTCAAAAAGAAATCTTCATTTCACTTAGTCTTTAGTTTATGTATAAACGGTTTCTTTTGTCACAGATTTGTGTTAGGCAGTATGTTAAATCACATTTCTTTTGTTATTCTTTTCTGTGGGCTAGGCTATTTTAAGTATCTTAAAGGCCAGGTTTGGATCTTTTTTGGCAGATTTGAAGCAGATGTAGTTAAGTGTCCAATGTGGAGGGGGAAAAACTCAACTTCCTGTAACCATGAACTTGGCACAAAACATTCATTGTGTTTTTGGAGGCTTGTGTTAAATTGCTTTTCCATTGTTTTTTCACTTCCCTCTGCAGTTAAGCTTAAAATCCATTTAACTGAAGGTGCAAGTGCAGTTTCAGGATCCAAGTCCAGATCTGCTCTGTTCACAGCTCCAGCATCAGCCTCCAAACTGCCTGTGAAATCCAGATTACAGACCAAGAGCTCCAGCACTTCTCAGACAAATGGACATCCAAAGCAAGGTGAGCCTTCCCAGATTGTCAGCCCGGTGGAGGAAGAAAAAATTATTTATAAATAATTATTAAAAATGAAAATAATTATGGATAAAAGTGACTGATTTAGACAAGATCAACCTCATTTTATCCAGCTTGACCCATATTCCCTGCTAGGTCAGTGTTGCCTTAAATCCAAAGACTGATGATTAAATCCCTTCTAAAGGATTCAATCTACTTTAACTAGATTTTTGAAACATGTTAACTTTGAAATATGATTTTAGCTTAAATATAAAGCCGTTTAAGTCCAAGTAGATTAAATTACCTGAAATCAGTTTAATCAGGAGTAGCACACATGAAAATATAGCCTGCTTTTTTCGGTCTAGACAGTGTTGCTCTGTGCAGCTTTGTGCTGCTCTCATTGGTTGATGGGCATGTTGTTTGTATGGATCAGGACACTCAGTCCCAGATGTCTGCGGGGCAGGGTTTGTTCCACCTCAGTTCACTTGGAGGGGTATGAGAAAGCAGTGCACATCCAAATAATGAGGACCTACCAATGCAAACAGACCTTATTTTCTCATCATTATGTTTAACTCACTGTGGAAGGTCATGCCTGCATACAGAGGCACCTTGACTGAAATCTCAGAGCAAGCTTTTACTAATTCAACCTTGAATCTGCAGCCAAGCTCTTGTGCTCAGTGTGATCTGACTCTTTTGACATGTCTACTTATCGGATCTTATCGCTTTTGTATTATTCCTTTGTTGTTTGCCTTTTATGGGAAGCCTAAGACTCAGTTGTGGAGAAGTAAGTATGTTTTTTTTTTTTTTTTTGCTTGCTTGCTTTTGGTAGGCTACTGCTCAGATGTGGAGTTGCAAATATTTCCGAATTTGTTTGTGATAACTACAATAACATGGGTACCTACCTATATTTTATCAGGTAGCAGTGTTGCTATATTGTTGTTTGTGGTTAAATCAAGTCACCTTTATTTTTGTAGTGCTTTATACAATAGAGATCATTCCAAAAACGCTTCACATGATTAAAGTAACAGAATCAATGATGCAAACCTAAATGAGGCAAATAAGAATCCTGCTGTAAAGCAGGTGTAGCAAGACATTAGTGTGATTAGTCAGCTCTCGTCAGTTCAGTGTTGGTTCAATTCATTTCAGTAACGGTGTAAAGTTCATTCATTATGAAATGGGTTCAGTTAAAGGCACAATATGTAATTTTTTACCGCTAGAGGGCGTGTATTCAAAATAAACAAAGAAACAAAGGCGAAGTTTGATGACCCCGTGACTGAGTGTGGAATCATGGGAGTTGTTGTCTTCATCCCCACAGCCGATGCAATCCGACGGGACTCGGGCAGAAATCATGTTCATGGATGAGCTAATGATTTATTAACGTAGTAGAATAAAGCAGAGTGAAGCTGAAAGCCATCGAAGAGAAAGGAGGCCGCTGAACGAGCGTGACACACGGCTCGAAAGCAGCGGAGCTTTTATTATGCCACAGTCGACCGCTTCCGCTCCTTCCGGTCATGAATATGTGGGGGGGAAAAGCAGCTCTATTTTATCATACTAGATACTTTTAAAAGTTCTGTTATAATGCTACTCTGTGCGGTCATCACCTGTCTAATAAAACGCATAACATATGAAAGCGTCTTTGGTGTTTCCATGTTTTCTACAAAACTAAACCAGAAATTGAGGGGTTATGACGTCATTGGCAGGCGACACAATATATTATAATATATCGATAATATTGCTGAATATTAAGTGCTTTTTAAACCCCAGCTGAGCAAGCCAAAGGTGACAAGGAGCCCAAACTCCCCAAATCAGGTGACAGAAATAGAGAAAAAACTTTGGGAGAAACCAGGCTCTGGCTTAAGTGAACAAACACTGTCATATTGTAACAAAAGCCTTTCAGTAATATAAGTGCGGTTGTCGTAATATATCAAAAATCACTATATCAGCTCATAGCAGTGGCGGCCCATCAAAGAAGGTACAATATCAGGGAGAGATCATCTGTTTATAGGAGCAAGGTTATCATCAAAAAGAGATGGGATGATAAAATCTGCTTACAGTATGTTTTATTGCTTTGATTGATTCACATATAAGCTTCCTAGGAAATTCTCACAAACTAATTTATGCACGAAGAAACTGTTGAATATTTCTATTGGTTGTATATTTATTCATTAGTTTATTTATTTTAAATCAGACCATGCTGAGCCCCCTGTAGGAACCTTGAGTAAACCTCCTCCTAACAAGACCACATTGTCAAGGACCAAGCTGCAATATCCACCTACCAGGAGTGTATCATCAGGTATGATGAGTCATATTTTCAATATCATTTTGAGCATTAACCTTTGCATCTCAAATGGAAGGCTAAAACAGTGAATCTCCTGAACAGGCTAGGGTATGTCTGGCTCAATTCCTCCAAAAACGAAAGAATCATGCAAGAAAAGAAAATGTTTAGAAACTAAAGCCTTTTTAGTGCCATTCATATTTTTTACATTGTGACATTATTGCACCCCACCCTGTTCATTCAATATAAACAAGTCAAATTTTGAGCTAAAATTATTTGACTTTTCTTTTCTTATTTTCTTTTCAGTCTTTGGTCATCTATTTGGTTTGATTTACTCCATTTTTTTTTTAATTTCTTTTAGGAACAGGATGCAAAAACACATCTTCATCAGGTTCAGCAAGGTCTTCAAGCAGTCCTCTGAAAACCCCTACCACAGCCCGACCCATGAGACCTGCTGCGACTCCAACAGGTAAGAACCAGTTTATTAAATTTGAAGTGAAGCATACAGTTATCACAGAAAATTTTGTCTTTTAAAATACCTGTACTGAGTATTTTAATTTAATAATTTAATTACAGTAAATATTTAATTTACAGTATATGGCATTTGTTTCAAAGAAAGACCCTCGAAGTCTAATAAATCCTGTTGCTACACTGTGTCTTGTCTGTGATCTGTGAGCTGCAGTTGGCTTGCACTTTGTGAGCTCTGTGTAACACCATCTCAGCAATGCAGGATATTTTATCACAGCCAAGTCTGTAACACAGCTGACACAGTCTCTGTCTTGTCTCAGCCGGCTTCTATCAGCCTTGCACATGTAATGTGTGCTTTCTTACCACCCATAAGTACTGTAATTAAGAATGGCGATTACATTCCTTTCAGGGATTAAGTCTTGGGTGTATGCATGCAGCATGCCTTCAAGCCAGTGAGACTAGACTCCACCATCACAATTATCTCTGAGAATGTTTCGTTCCAAAGAAAGTTTACTATAAATAATGGTATTATCCTACACCTTTGGACAGAATCACTTTGAATTGCTTTTATATAGTAAACGGATTCAATAGTTAGGTTTATTTTACTCTTAATAAGTGCTGAATTCAGATTTGTGCCTCTGAGCCCACATTGACAATATTTTTTTTTTGTAATTTTAAATTTAATTAAATTAATTAACTTCATTTGTTATTTTAATTAATGAAAATCAATGTTTTATTAAATTAGATAAGATAAATAGAACCATTAAAAATAGTAAAGTAGAATAATTTTTACTTCAACCTTTAACCCCAGTCTTTTAGACCCAACTCTTTGTTTTAGCATTTGTGAAATTATATATTCATGTGAAAGCCTTGTATTTCTTAAGCTTATTTTATGACTCTAGCCTCTAGTTTTTGAACTGTGCAGACATGCATTGTCTGCTGCTGTTAGCAATCCCACATAAACATAATTACATTTCAAACATAAAATTATGTCTTCCATGGGTTGCATACTTTGTTTTCTGCGTTCTTGCTGGCATCACAGGCGTCTTAGACATTTTTTGCAGTTGTCTGTTTTGACCACAAAGAAATCTGTTCCCTGGCCTTGTTATGGGTCTTATTTGAGAGGTTTAAATGCAATGTACACCTCAGGACAAATTAAATGTTTGGGTTTTTATTATTTATTTTTATTATTATTATTATTTGTTTTTGTTTTTTTTAATACAAACTTAAAAAAAAAAAAAGATTTTTTTTTTAAATAATTTTTCTTGATTTGATGACCTGCTCAGGGTTCATATCTTGCTGTAAGCTGTTACTTTCTCTCCTGCCATTTTTAACCCTCCCCGATGTGTGAATGAAGGAGAAAGCTGTGAGAGAGTGAACCCACCCACCCACTCCTGCTCTGCTGCTTACGCCTCCCAGCGCCCTCCCTTCCCTCTCTCCTTCCCTCTCTCCTTCCTTCCATTCACCCAGCATCCTGCACCTCCTTAACACCCAGCGAAGAGCGAGAGATGCTGAGTGTCAGTGGATGAGAGCTCAAACCGGTGGATAAATGCCTTCTGCTCTGCCTCATTTGTTTCTGGGTCTCCTGCCTCTCTTTAATCCAGACTGCTTCAGTTCATTTGTTTTTGCCAAAGTGTGACGGGGAGTCACGGCTGTTTTCTCCCTCCTTCCTTCATCACAGTCTTTGCCATTTGTTTGGCAGATGTTTTTTTTTTTTGCTTTAGCCTCACATGTGCTCACTGAGGCTGTTGTTCTTTTTGTTTTGCTTATGAAGAGTTGTCCTCTTTCTGTCTTCTCGGCAAGATGTTTTTCTCTCCCAAATTTTCACTGTCCAACATCCATGTGAGGCTGACAGCGAAGGGATTGCTCAGAAACCTCCAGCTGCTGTCAGGATGCAAGAGCACTGTGGTGTTTCGGGCAGGTCTGTTCCTTAGAAAACGCTGTTGTTGTGACTTTTCCTTCATTCTGCACAGACGTTTCAGAGTGTTTCTCTACAGCTCTCAAGGTGCTGTCTTTGCTCATGTGGTGTTGATTCTATCTTTAGACTCTGCTTTTCTCTCTCTGCCAGAGAGTATTTGATATTTGTACATGGCCAGTAGGCATCTTCTTGCTAGCCGCAAATAGAGCCTGGGATCCTTTTGCAAATAACATGTATATTTGTGCCACAATTTGGGTTATGGTAATCACCTACCAAGTCAGTAGATACAGTAAGTTCATATTTTTACCTTATTCCTCTTTTCAAGCGAGTTGGTTCACAGGTCTAAAAACCAAATTTTCCTGTTTTCAGATGCTCAGAGGTTATTTTCGCCTGCAGACTAGGTTGAATGTAATGTCTTGTAAATATTCTGACAAGGTGAATTCCCATCGAAGAGATGAAGTAGACATGTTTGTGGCAGTAACTCTTCTTTTTATAGTGACTGGCCAAATAAGGACTCTAATAAATAAGGAAGCGACTATTTATTCCATGGCCGTAACATCACAGAGGACTATATTTGATCTCAATAAGTATTTGGCTAAGGTTTCACCTGTTGAAATATCCCTCTAAAAATAAATGCATATAAGCTCCAATTATAGCATTAATGATAACCTGATTGATGGTTAAATCTGTTTCTGCATGCATTACCTTCAATAGGACACCAATGTTTTCATATTCTAGACTACTGAATTTTTCCACAACGCACTTGATTGTTATTAAACTTTTCAATTTTTTACCTCATAATCATGTTGAATATGTGTAAGGCTATAGATCATTTTAGGCATCAGATAAGGTATTTTTTTGCTTAAATCTTTTATTTATAATGCTAAATTTAGTGTCCATATAACAACATTTGTTTGCTGAGCACTAAATGGGAGCAGTCAGTTAATTACAAAGCAAATATTATCAGTGATATTTAAATAATGGGCAGGGATTTCACCCAAATTTTATAGTTTTGTAAACTGACTTCACATCAAAAACTGAGATTTTGAGTTATGTTTAGAGCATGCATCTTTGTTTACCAAGACTTTAAAGAAGTCCACCTAAGATGGCTTATAGAGAGAGCATATATATGCTTCACAGCAGTGTTTAAATAATTCGGGTGTGAGATGAGATTAATTATTCAGTTCAATATGCTGTGTTCTGTTGTGCAACAGTTTTTGTGAGGCATGTAGAAGCAGTAAGTGCTCATTATGTGTGCTCTGAAGGTCTGGCAACAGTAAATCACTTGTTATTCACAAATTAGTGTTTGTTTGCCAAATGCATTTAATTTTAGGTCTAAAACCTTGAGCTGTATCACTATGCATGTGGGATCCAAGTGCGCTCCCTGGATAACCCAAAGCACCCTAATAATTAAAATAAGACTAATTAACTGTAATTACAATTGCTGTAATTACAATTTGGATAATTCAGTTTGGGATAACTATATTACTCTTCTAGTCTTGATCGCTTAATCTCATATGGGATTTGTGTCCAAAAATCTAATACCTGCTCTGTTGGGACATGAGTAACTCAGGCTGAGATCTTCCCAAGTCAGCATTCAAGCTGAAATTTGCATTTCTGTGCAGCTAGCTTCAAAAAAGGTAGTGCAGCTCATAAACTATTCTTTCAGCCCATGTTGTTGTGTCAGTTTGATTTTGATGCTCAGTAAGCAAAGCAATAATACTGATAACACCCGTGTTTAGACTTTTCAAGGGAAACTACAACCTTGCTTAATTATAGTTGACTACATATTTAGCTGCAAAATATTTTAACACATAAAAAATTACAAAAGAATGGCACTTATATTTAAAGATGTCTGTTAATGTGTGTGTTAAACATAGAGGCCTCTGGCGACCACTGATGGAATTACAACAATAAGTCTAATGCTAAATTGAGAGCTGTCAGTTCTCAGTAGCCTACCTCTGACCTTTACGATGATTTGGAATCTTTTTATCTATAGTTACATTCTCTCTCAGTGTACATCGGCTAGCCTGAAATTGGTGTAACTGTTAAGGCAATAGTTGGGTGTTGCAGGATGGATAGGTTTGATTTATTTACTTGATTGATCTTTTGTTTGTTTGTCTGCTTTTCCTATCCTTTTTTTTAATCTGCGTAACTGATGTTATTTAGAGTTACTATTCAGTGCTTGCACTTTAATGTACCTTCAGTCTGCTCTTAAGTGAGTTTTCCAGCAGAGGGAGCCACACAGATGTTTACCTAGCAGTGACACCTTATGGTTTGAATTATACTGCATTTTTAATGTGTTGGCTAACATGATTTCTAATGTGCCACACCAAGACGACGACCTAAATTTTTGCCTTTTAAAAATGCACTGCTAGTCTTTAAGAGAATGGCATATGAAAAAAAATTTACATTTAGGACCTCTGGAATCATGTTAGCAAGGCCAAAGCATTCAGAGTTTATTCAGAGTTCCTGATTAATGTTTCTGTTTTGTTTTTAATTGGCTTTTTATTTAATGTCTTAGTTTAATGTCTGCCACATACATTTTTTCTAAAAAGCCAGTCTGGATTACTTTTCATTAGCTTATTAAATATCAAGCCAGGAGAACAAACAGAGGTCAAGGACAGTAAAGTGTTCATAATATCGCCTCTTTCATTAGTCAGTATATGCAAGTTTTTAAAAAGGACTAATATTTCCAGTTCCTTCAATTCATGTGATAAGCTAAACCGCTTTATTTATTTTATGAGTGGGGACAGTGAACTAACAGGCTTAGAGCAGTTTGCAACTTTGTCTTGAAGGCGAAACAGGATGCTGGAAAGGAAGAACATTCATATATACTGTATGCATTCTGAATGTATTGTCAAAGATTTTTTTCAGCAGAAAATTTCAGCATTCTAGACGATGTCTGTTGGAAATCTTTTATTGACATTTGGATCAAGTTCCAAAATGGTCAATGTTTCCACACTTATTGCTTAGTTGTTTATCAAAAGATCAATATGGTCTGTTTCCTAATAATGTTAAACAATGCACATTTTGTGACCTTAGAAAAGGTCTCTAAAAGGACTATTGTGAATCCCAGCTTGCATTAATTTAGAAGTTGGATAGTTGTACGATTAAAAATATGCATATACACATTCGTTTTCATAGCATTAAAAGTTGTGCAAAATGTTTTTATACAGTGTGGACAAACTTGCACTGCTGAAACGGTGTGCATAAATGGTATTTAACCTTCAAGTATTCTTTGAAGTACTGTTTTTTTTTTTTCCCCCTGCATTCTTAAGGCATGATCTAAAATGCTGAAAATGCTAATCATTTTTTTCCCCACTGAAAGTGTTTCTCCCTCCTTTTTTGCCTTCTAGAAACCAGAATTTAAATAGTTCAGGCAGTAGTTTTGACACATTTGGTATTTTCTTTATTTTTTGGTTTAATTTATATAAATATTTACATATTATATTTACATTAGCGCTTTGGGTTAAGAAAAGCGCTTGATAAATAAAATGCATTATTATTATTGTTATTATTATTATTATTATATGTAAAGAATATAAATATTAGATATATATTAATATAATATTTAATATTTTATTCTTTAACTATGCATATATGTTTATTTTATTTATATATATATATATTTATTTATTTATTTATTTATTTATTTGGCACCTTAATGCCTTTGCAGATGTAAATTTGGTGCTGTAAATCAGTTGCTGTTGGATTGACATTAGATGAGAAAGGCTTCATGGGGCTTGTTGTCCCACCCCTGCCTTATTAAAGGGGTCATATGATGCTGCTAAAAAGAACATTATTTTGTGTATTTGGTGTAATGAAATGTATTTATTAAAAAATAACAACTTTGTTATATTTATGAGATGATGTAAATGAAAACCACTGTGGCATAGCCCTGCTAAAATAAGAGGTCTCTGATGGCTGGATCTACAGAGGGGAAGATATTACATATTTAGTGATAGGGTGAGCGGTTATTTAATTCAGGGTTGCATTTGGTGGACGGTTGAATCTGTTTTTGGATCGTCTCTTGGATTTTAATGAACATCTCTGACGTAGTTGGGTCTAAGGTCTATGAACTGGAGGAGCACTGTGCAGAAAAATAATGCTGAATGTTGTTACAGCACTGAATGCATGTTCTCTTACAGTTGACAAGAACAAGTCAAGGACGAGTTCCCGAAACCAGCAGCCCCCGACAAATGGGCAACCAGATCTGGTACCGCCAGAGAGCAAGTCCAGAAATGTGGAGTACTACAAAGCTCTGTGTGAGAAGAAGAACCAGACCATTCAACAGCTGGAAAACACGCTCCGATCCAACAACCGCAGGTTCGAGGCAGTTGCTGTGGTCATAAAGCATCTATGTGCTGGGGTGAGTATTATGAGATAACATTGCTTAAGTTCATGATGAATCATTCTGCTATACAACAGATGTGAATAATACATGAAGATGGTGTCTTTGATCAGTTGTCAAGTTAGGATTAGATTCCTTTGGTTAGGGTTTGATATCAAGTTGTTTTCTGACCACCCAGCACTGATTGTATTGGTTTGTGGTCTTGTTGGGTGTGTTTGCAGTCGGGTAATGTTGTGCTACTTCCTTCTGCTCTCTGTTTGTTCTAGTGATGTTCTTTAACACTTGACTTCTTTTTTTTTATGATTTCTTTGCCACTTTACTTCTTTAACCTTCCCAATGACCTGGCTTGTACAGCTATTCTCAACATTTTTTAAATAACCCTACAAAGCTTTGTCTGTCTATGCAATTACTTATCACATTTGTATTAACAACATTAATAGTAATTTTAATTTATTAATAACTGGTGCTCCCTCAATTTGTAAATGTATACCAAATAAATAATTTCTGTCGATTATGCCTTACCGTCAAAACTTTGGAATAATTTTGGGGGGTTTTTTTTCATGTTTTTGAAACTCGTCTCTTATGTGCACCAAGGCACCAACATTTATTTTTCAGTGGTATTTCCGATTATAATCTCTTATAAAATATATTTTTCTTTTGTAATTTACTTTACACCCTAGATGTATCTATTAAAACTCAGGTTACATGTAATCCCATCCTGCTATTCCTGACTCTGGACCGATTAGAGCTTACTAAATTTAGAATTGTCCTTGTTAAAATGGCAATATGAAGGCCGGTTGGCTGTACATGTTTAAAGTTAATGGTGAGAAAAGGACAACCGCCACAGTTTGTATGCTGCGCAAAAGACGGGAAGAAGTGCAGTGTGTTTGAGCTGAAGCTGACCGGTTATAGTCTGGAGTGCATGTTGGCTGCTCCTGCAGAATCTGGACCAAGACCAACTTTAAACTAAAAGGCACTACTGTAATTAAGCTGTGGCACTTAAAGAATCAGTCCATAAAAAAAGTGTATATTTCGAAAACAAAGGTCAAACGTTTCTCTTCGTACTGTAGATTGTGGACTAGACATTATATTTAATTATACCTTTTAAGGTCCTAGGTTCACATTTTTTCTTTTGAGTGGTCACTGCCATACAGACCACCACAAAATAATTTATACAAGGAGAGTACAATATCAGCTCTTCTCTTAAAGCCATGATACTTTCCTGTAGGTGGTTCTTATTTAGTGTGTGTTTTAAATGTATGAGGCACAATTTCAATGTGTGCTGCTTTTGAAAATTCAGTGTTCTGTATTGATTGTCAACAGATGTATGAATCTGAAAACTGGGTGCTACAGCATCGTTTCATGACAAAAATAGATTAACAGATATATAGAGCATGAAAGTAAATGTAGTGTTTTAGCAGTGTCCTGTATAGGAATCTGTTAAGCATTCATTAGGAGGTTGGGCTTCAGCATGTCTGTGTGAGAATGTACCAGCTGCTGCCTTGATATGGTCAGAAGCACGCTGAGACGCCTAGAGAGCTGCTGGGGGCTGCTTCATATGTTTTGTTTGCAATGAGCTGTCAGCACACTGTGTACATTGCCATAATTTCACTACAAGAGGCCACACATGCTTTCCCTGAAGCAGTAACATTAATTACCATAGTTGATAATGATAGATGAATGTGTTTTCAATATTTTCCCACTCAAGTTCTTGGTGTGATCACGTGATTCTAAATATTTGGCTTAATTTTTTTTTTTGTGTGTGTGTGATATTTGGCTTTTGATACAGCATTAGTTATTATATTTAGTATTGATTTGCTTCACCAAACTGTCCAACATTATTCATGTTATAACTGAATATTTTATTTTTACATTTATTTATTTGTTTGTTTATTTATAAAATGCAAACATAATCTGTTGTTGTTGTCTACTGCATACAGAAAATGTTGTTGTTATTATAAAAATGTTTATTCAAAATATTAATCTGTTATTTTCTGTTATCCGTTTCTGAAAACGGATAAAAGGTTACTATTTCTTCATGCAGTAGAAAATAGCATTCCGTTTTTACAACAATAATAATCATCATCATCATCATAATAAATAACAATAAATAACAATGGTAATAGAAATAATGATAAAATAGGTCCTAATAATGTTATCCATTATTTTCTATTTCATACAAAAATAATAGTATTTTATGATAATAATAAATTAAACAATAAAATAGTTACTATTATGAATGTTATAATAATCCATTGTTTTCTAATGCATACTGACAAATTTTTTATTTTTGATAATGATAATAATAATAGTAACTATTTTATTGTTATTTATTATGATTAAAAATACAACAACTTTCTGTATGCAGTAGAAAACAATGGACTATTATAATAACATTAATAATAGTAGCCTTTTATTGTTATTTATTATTATTATTATTATTAAATACTATTATTTTTTTCTGTATGCAGTAGAAAATAATGGATTGTTATAACATTAATAGTAACTTTTGTTATGTTATAACAATCCATTCTTTTCTACTGCATATAGAAAAAATAGTATTTTAATAATAATTTTATTATTATTATTATTGTAGTTTTCTGCAGCACTTATTTGGTGTACATTAACTACAAACGTGATATGGACCACCAAATTTTAATCTGACAGCCTTGATTAATTAGAGACCAATTAATAGTGACATCCCTGTAGTTTTGTGTGTTGTCCAGTTGTTAACTTAATAATAAATATGAATGTTAAATTGTATCCTGCACTGCTTTCAGTTAGCAAATTCTGAAGAGGTGCTGAAAGGAAAGCAAGACAGACAGCAGTCCTCCCTCTGTCCTCTCATGTCCTGTGGGAAGGTCACTGCACACTTCTCCTGTAACACGCACATTTCAGGTGCCATTCAATCATCCAACTGTCAGACATTGCATTTTTTCTGCTCTCTTTGCTCTACTTACTGTGGTTGTCCTAAGTGCAGCATTTATGTAGCAGCCTACCAGGCACAATATAGCCGCCTCCCTCAATTGCCCTTCTCTTAGATATATTACGGTATCCTTTCACCACTGAGAAGGCAAGCGGTTGGAGGAGGTGAGAGCCAATGAGCTTTTTCCACTAGTCTCTCCGATGTTGAGCGAGACGGCAGAGAGAGGAGGTAGAGGTGGCAGAGGTTCCTGCATCTGGGCTGCTGCCGTCCTGCATTCTGGACTGAAGTCACAGAGACGGGATCATGGGCTGCTCCGGCAGCAAAGTGTGCCTTAACGCTCCCTGCGCTGGACACAGGGTAAAGACGTTATCCTCTCCGCAGGGTGCAGGGCAGGATAGATTGGCATTTGAAATGGGATAGCTGTGGATGCATATACAAAGCATGTCAGTTGTCTATGATTAGTTTGTGGTATTCTTAAATCTGATTTGTTTCACTGTTTGATTTATTCTAATGAATATGCAATGATGAATTCATAACTGTAGTGTAAATGTCACTCTGCAAGTGTTTGCATTGATCTCGGGGGGTAGGGGGTAGGTCAGGACAGCAGCACGCGGTTTTTGAAGCGTCTTTGTGTTGGTTGGGGAGGCTGACAGCACTGCAGCTGTGCCGCTGGCTGTCCTCCACTTTAAAAAAGAGACAGTGGTAGGGAGAGAGAGAGACACTGCTGCTTTTATTGCTCTAAATTCAGTTGTTGATGTCATTCATATGCTTGTTTTTTTTATTAAACCCTTAGAGAGCTGTCAATGTGGTGCGTAAACCACAAAGATGGGCTATGGGGTGCTTGCATGCCCATGCAGATGTCACAACTGTTGCTCAACAATTGGTGTTTTCTTTTAATGCCTTGTGGCAGTAATAAGTTACAGGAAAGCCTGTTTTCTTTGAACGCTTCTGGGCTGCTTTGCTAATGCAGTTATGTGTCATGACAATCAAGCATATTTAAAACTGAACAAAAACTCTGACCCATCCTGTCCTTTGATTGACAGACACCCTTCGAAGGGAAAACCTAATGCATAATTCATGTCTGCCGAAAGACTTTCAGAGTTGTTCATCATGACATTAGATTTCACTTGGCACTGCCTTGCTCTATGGCGACATATTTTGGCATATTGAGTAATTTGAGTAATATGAAGCATGTGTTGCATTGAGAAATCATGAACTGATTTTTCGTCTGTTTTCCTGCAGCATGAGGAGATGATGAAGCAGCGCAGGGAGCTGTCTCAGGAGCTGGTCACCTTGCATGAGGAGCTGGGTAAGTGTGTGTGTGTGAGTCATTTGTAGAGTGCTTGGCTTTCACTGTCTGCAGAAAGATTGGAAAGAGCTGCCAAAATTAAGCTGTTTGTAATTAATGTAATATTTGGATTGCTGGTCACAAGGTAATCATTGGGATGAACAATAGGTGTGCCGTTTCTTGCCGTAACACGCAGACTACAGTGACCTCTCACACTAAAGTATCTGTCAGAATCCGTCAAAAGTTTGGACATCTACCTTTTCTGTACTTCTCTCTGCATTTTGCAATAAAAGTAGCAAAAAAGTAGTGGTAAAACTTTAGAAAACACAAATATGGGTAAATGTGTTATTTTAGCACTGCACAATCTGAGCTTTTTCTCCAAATTCATATGTGTGTGTGTATATATATATATATATATGTGTGTATATATATAAATGCATTTAAGCTTGCCCACTTAGAACATAATAAATCTAATGTGTCCAATGTACACTGGTACTGTGTTTGAATTTACCTTCAACTGAGCGTGCCTACTAGTACATGAATTACCACGTGTTTGTAGATAAAGAGGATGGTCTGTTTGTTTTATTGGTCCTGTTGGAAGAGCTCTCCCCTCCCATAGGGCTCCTTTAGGAGACACACCTCCAGAAAGCACATACTCAAAGCAGAAACGGTGAGCCGTCCTGGAATGTGAAGGTCATGCTCGTGTCTGTCGACAAGGTCAGAGAAGTCTGAAGTCCCTCACAGTCTAATGGGCAAAGTAACATGGAGAAATGAATTTAGTACCAGCCAGTGTTTCCCATGAGCCGTCTGATGCATTGATTTCACAGCTCATATTTCCATCTGAAAACTGAGCATACAAGGGAGAGATATGAGGATTTATGTTCTTTCTTGACTGATATACGATATCATCTGAGCAGGATTAATGTATTCAATGCTTAATGAATCAGAAAAAAAATATTTTTATTCTTTCAGTTTGCAAATGTATAAGTCTGGCACATGATCACTCTTTACTATTATAATCATTGCTTAAACGTATTAGCACATTCCAGGGCTCCTGACCCCTATAAGAATTCTTCAGACCACCTCCTGAAGTCACAATATAGCTGCAGGAAAATATCAGCAATATTTCACCATTTACCCACAGATAGCTTTATTTTCAGCTTTCACCTAAGCATAAAGCGAGTGATGTCACTGTGAATACTGCAGCGTGCCATGTTTTTTGGCACGCACCCAGAATTCCCTTATAAAACAAGTGTCTTTTAACACAGGACAACTGCTCTCTTCCAATGAAGCGAGTGCTGTCTTCACACGAAACCTGCTAGAACTGTGTCCAATTAATTTAGCTTGCTATTTGGCATGTGACTTATTAACTTCTCTGTGCAGAATGTTAACTTCATTTGCCTTTTGTGTCATTTTGTGAATAGTTTTAATGTAAAAACATCTGTTTTCAGAATAAACATGTCTAGACGATGTCACATGATTTATTTGAGGCACATTCAATCCGGCCTGTTAAATGTACAGTTTCATTTTCCATTTTGGTAAGAGATTGGATACAAACGTGTGCATGTACATAAACAGCACATTTGTCAAGGATCCTTCTCCTTCCTAACTGTCTGTTTTTCCTCTTGTTTGCATTATTTGGATTATTTATAGGCCTTCAGCTGTGCACTGCATCATAAATATAACCTATAATAGAATTACACTGCAGATTCATGAAATACATCAAGCCATTAGCGAGCTCTGGGTCTGGCTCATCTTCTCTGAGTGGATCTGATCATGGTTTAGCTCTGTTAACTGTCTCTTGTACAACAGGGTCAATAGATACTGTTCTCATTTAACCCCTAACAACAACTTTATTAAGAATTCTGATTGAAACTCATTTTAAGACTCTTTTAAAGGGGAAACATCTGTGGTTTTCATCTCGGAATACAGATGATTAGATTGCAGTGCCAGTAAGGGATATGACCCAAGTTTCCTCCTGGAGAACAACAGCCGTTCTTGTGTTGTGACTCGTTCAAGTAATTTATTTTGCTGACATACTTTTGACCTTTGATAATAGATGAGGTTCAGAAACGCCTACTGATGCGCCAGTAAACAGATAAGATGAGCCGAACAATCTGGTGTAATTAAGCTGTTATTCTACAGAAGTTAGACATACGTTTGTTCCCAGCACTCACTGAGTGTTTTCACACAAATATGAGCATCACATTAGCCTGATGAAGTGAGTGGACTGGTAAGCTCTTTTTGAAACAGCTGCCTGGATTTCTGCTGTTATTTCGTTATAGTGGCCTGGGCCATGGACAAATAAGTCTTATAAAGAGACTTGCTGGCCTTTGCGTGCTCATTGCATCACATGACTTTGTTGGTTATGCCACATCTCTTGGATTTGGCAGTTAAGTTTTTCAAATATTAATAAACACTGAAGCATCTTTAATTTTTATTCAGTAATAAAACCTAAAGTAGTTTGGCATAATCTTTTATTTTTATTCCATTTTTTTTTTAATTATTGTGTTTCATTGTGATATGAGGACTGTTGTATCACCCTGACATTTCTGATTCCGTGCCTCCCTAAAACATCACAGTGCCTCCTTTAATTCACTAGATGTATGAGTTTACGTTTGCATGCAATTCATTTATTTATAAAAATTAATTTAATACAGATATTTAAATAAATGCATGTGTATTAAATAAGTATTGCTATTTATTTTAATTAATTAATACATATTCAATGCATTCAAACTTCAATGCAGATATATAAATAAATATATTTATTTATTTTTTCATATATTTAAATACCGGTATTTATTTTGATAAATAGATAAATACAGATGTTTAAATTAATGAATAAAGATAGAGATCCAGCCAGAAATCCCGAACTCAAGTGGTCCCACCAGGATAGCCTGTTACTCCATGTAACACTTGTACACTACAAAGACAGGAGCAGCTGCAGGATTCAGCTTGCTACTTTGTGTGAAAACCACAGCAGTTCTGTGCAGCGCAGTGAAGTGTCATCTGTTTCTTTCTATAAGAGCAAAGGTGGCTAATGCTCACAGGGACAGTATCTGTGACACAGTTCTGATTGAGAGAGCATAGTGACTAGTTAGGAAACTCCTGTTCATTGTGGCTCTGTGTGGATTAGTGTTCCTTTTGCTGAACCTTCCCTTAGTTGTAATTTGACATGTTCCTTGTAACAGTTGACACATTATTTACAGAACTGCTGGAGATACCATAACTGTAGAGACAACTGGGACTCAAGCAGAATACTTGAGTAATGAATCATAGCATCGAGTGTTGGCAGGGCCTGATGTTAAAGCAGCAAATGGACGTGTTGGCCTTTCAACATTTGGTCTAGTTATCCCACTGCTGTCTACATATAGCATATCTATATTTTCATATCACAAACCGGTGCATTAGATATCAGATGTCCTACTCTTTGAAGTCGGAGGGTTGCTGTCATCATGCCAGAAAAAATGCAGTCATCTTAAATGGTGCTTTATGGGCTTGATTTTTGTTAACTGAATTAATCACTTAATCGATCTTCTAACTTCTCCGATCGGATCTTTTCCCCAGTGAGCTCGACTCACTCCTGTGAGCGTCTGGAGCAGGAGAAGGAGGAGCTGCGTGCAGCTTTTGATGGAGTTCTACAGAAGGTCCAGGAGCAGCACCGCTCAGACCTCGCTGACCTCGAGGAGAGACTGAAGACCTTCTACTCCACTGAGTGGGAGAAGGTCCATCAGACCTACCAGGAGAAGGCTGACAAGTGCAAAGCTCAGCTGGAGCAGCAGGTGTGGAAGACAATGGGCCTTTTTTTCGTTTGTTCTCCAGTGTCCTTACACACTTTTTGTTGGATATACTTTATTTCAGATGCCTTAAACTGTCATATTAATACTTAAACATGATCACTTTCTCACAACTATGTAGAGTGGTTTCATAGCTTTTGTTTTTCTTGTATCTTGGCATATGAGCCTTGACCTTTTAGTTGTTTGGACATATGGTATCTGATTTCCTCATCATTTATACACAAAACAAACCAATAAGACTTTTACTAAATTACTTTATTTGTACTTGTCTAGCTAAAAGAGTTGCGAGAAAAACATGAGGCTTTGAAGAAGAAACTGGAAGTCAGCCATATGGAGGAGGTGGATGGCCTTAAACTACAGTTTGAAGAGACTTTCAAAGGTAAATAATATTGGGCTTTGTTTTTGTCTAATGGTCTTTTTCTGTCTCTAAAACGTGTGTGTGTCTGTGTCTCTGTCTCTGTGTCTGTCTCTGTGTCTGTCTCTGTGTCTGTCTCTGTGTGTCTACACATAAAATATACTGAACCATATTTTGTGGACAAATTTGTATCCAGAAGTAAGCTAAACATGAAAATCTCCCTAAACCTTCTTTTGGGAACGTCCTCATTTGTGAAAACTGTATTAAAGTAAATAAAAGTGGAAAAAAAAAATAATAATGTTTATGTTAGATTAGGTTAAACCGTAGAAGTCTATGCAATGTCCCTATGTAGTAGTCTCTATTTACCAGAAAATGTTGGACATTGTGGGGACAAAGTTTAAGTCCGTATTAGGAAAATGGTTTATAAATTATACCAAATTATGTCTGTTAGGTTTAGGAGTAGTGTTAATGGATAAAATATAAAGTTTGTACAGTAGATAAAATATCATGTCTATGGAGACTCCTCATAAAACACAAAAATTCAACAAAAGTGTGTGTAAATGTTGCACTTGTTACTTTAATGTTTAAAGACATCAATATTACCTCTCATGCTCTGATATATTCTGCTCTGTCTTGACTTTCTCAGAACTGAGACAGTCCCATGAAAAGGAAATGCAGACTCTCAATGCAACACTGAAGGAATCAGAGGACACATTATCTGTAAGGCGGTGACCAAGAGCTAAAATTCTCCACACAACATCCGTGTTTCCTGCTCACTTTTCCTTTCTTGTATTTTTGCCCTGTCAAAATGTAACAAACATTTTCATATCAGTGCATTTTTCCTCAAACAGAATCGAATTCAGAAGCTCATGACGGAGAATAACAACCTCAAAGAAAAGCTGGATGCTGAGGTGAAGAGAAGGATGGATCTGGCTGAGAAAACACAGGTAAGTTATCACTCCTGTATAGCTCCCAAACATGTGTTATCAAACAGACTTAGCCAGTGCTATTGATAGTAATGCGTCTCTGCTGTGTAGACTGTATTTCCATGAATGACAGGTTAATATTAGACTGGTCTTTCCAATCAGAGTTAAGGAGATTCCGGAACTCTCAACATTCTGAAAATGCATGCGAGGGCATTTAGATAACTACCATGCATAATACTGTAAGACCCTGTACTATAAATAGTGTGACAATCCTGCACAGGGAAAGTACATATATCGGGGTTTCTTCAACTATGGACACTTTCGACCCTTAATCTGTTAGAAAAAGTAGTGTCTTACATTTATGCATTTAGCAGATGCTTTTATCTAAACGCTCTTAAAACACACTTTTCACATTTTCACATAGTTTTAGATTGTTCACCAACAACGCCAAACAGTTTATATTCACACTCAACAGGAGAATTCTTTATTAGAGACAGTAACTTCATTTTGGGTAAAATTAGAATGACGCCAAATGTTGAAGCCTGAATTTAAGACTATATAATTTTTCTTTTACTCATTATATTCATTATATAATTATATAAATAATATTGATATATTATATTATATTATATTATATTATATTATATTATATTATA